GCTTGACTCCTGGTCCTTTCGTCTCCGTGCGGGCGTCCGACCTCTTGCCTGAACACACGCATCACACCCTCGGTCATACGGCCAATGTCCTCGACATTCGTGCTCATACAACAAACTGCCCACTCTTGCAAGACCGTTGAGGGCACTGTTCGAAGTTGCATCCCACCACCGGTATCGCGGGACCTGCAGTGCAGCTTCTCAACAAAGCCTAAGGTCTGCGCATGCCTCACATGTTTTTCCACGCTGTGTTTCATGTGTTCCGTGAGTTTCACAAATCATGATTGTTGTTGTATGGTTTTATGGTTCAATGGTTTTTGTTGTATGGTTTCATGGTTTCATGGGTTTTTGTATGGTTTCATGATTCCATGGTTTTTGTTGTATGGTTTCATGGCTTTTGTTTCATGGTCATGTCCATGTACCATGCATGTGTTTCATGGGATATATGGGTTCATGTGTCATGTGTTTGGTCATGCCATGTCCACGCATGTCATGGTTTGGTTCATGCGTTTGTTTAACTGAGGCCCCAGCTGAACTCATCTGCGTAGAACCTGCAAAGTCAAGCAGCGAACGAACAACGATGAACGAACCGAAAAGCACAGAAACTTCATAGGCCAAGCTGTGAACTGCCATCTCATGAAACCTAGGCGCAATCAACACCCCCAAATTTGCTAGTCCCAAGCCTTGGGAAAATCAGCCACATAAAACTGCCACATGATTTCCCATCTAGACTTTATAAGGCAAAGGCTATTGTCCACCGGAGGGGAGGAAGATGAAGACACTTTTTGGCGGCCTTGAGAGGGAAAAAATGTGCAAAGAGAAAACGTGAAGCTTATACACCCCCACCTCTGTACAGGTGGTGGTGGCTTATTGATCCTAGCAGCTGATTGAACAAGTGACGACAAATGTCACATCACAAGGATCTGCCTCCAGACTGTCTGTTTGGGCACTGCTTCAGGCTTCGGATTCATAAATGACCTGAAAATTTCAAAAGTACCAACACTTTCCAAATCCTATTGCTCCAAAATCTCAGGCCTGGTAGGTGATGAAGGCGAGGGTTCTTGCGGCCTTGCTTTTGGAACACAGTGAGCCTTTGCTTTTGCATAATCTGCCTGCAGCCCACAGTCAGAAAAAAAGGCTCCACTCAATCAAAGTAAAAATAACTAGCAGCCTCCATCTTCTCCAGCTGACTGCGAAGACGAGCAATTCGGGCCAGCCCTGGTCTTGAAAATCCTGGCTAGCACTACTAGAGCTCAGGACAGCGGCCCCCTTCTCTTCCAGTTCTGGGTCTTTCTTGACATTGCTAGAAGCCTTGCGGTTCGCAGGTGGAGTTTGAAGCTTTGACTTTACTAAACTCACAGCTGGCATAGGTGGCGGTAGCCAATCAAATGGCTCATCAGGTTCACGGAGCCGCTGGTGAGGAAACTGAATCTTCGATTTGGCCTCAAAAAGGAAACAAACAAATTGTCTCTGCACAGTACAGAAGAATACAGCCAGCAAAGCTTAGTGTCAGACCCCTTCTATTTCTATTTTTCTGCGCTTGCTTTGCCCAATCACCTGCCAATCCATCTGATAGTTCTTTGCAAAACTCTCACAACAGGAGATGCCTGGTCAGCTTCCATCTTCCAAAAAGGATTCTGCAAAAAACACTTGGGCC